CGCCTTTTCATAAACTTACCCTTTCAATCACAATTTTTCGTGCTATAATAGATTGTAACTAAATATAAACTACTTAGTTTTCAACAAAAACCTTATTTAATAGTAAATTTCAAATATTTTAAACATATTTCGAATAGGAACTTATAACTTTTTTACCATCTGCAAAACTGACGAAGTGGCAACCATCTAAAGAAGGAGAAATCAGCTGACACGGAAAAATTTAAATTCCGCGATTTCTGCGCTACGGGCTACAACTACAGAAAAATTCTGCGGTGTTGAGTTTTCATTTACATGGCGCTTTGGTAAGACAGATCGTGTCAGCTGACTCGGGTTTACGTACCGGTAGGTTTACGTTCTTGACTAATTTCAGCTTTAAAGTTTACCATGTGTGTTTCGTAAATTCCATTAATACACACACCAATTGCATAAATCTTAAAATGTTTTTTTCTCGCTCTTTACCGATATTTAGGAAAATTTCCGCAGGCGAATACTGTTTAAGAATTTTATTACGAAAAACACATGCCTTGCCAAAAGCCTTGCGTCCCATCAAAACAAAATCGACTCGAAAAGAGGTTTGGTGCTGCTTTTAATATGTATGCACATACATACATATTTATTAAATCTGAACTCTTTACGACAGCCAATATTCTTTGTGGATTCAAAACAAGTTAATGTAATCGGAGGGAAAGGTGGAGATGGATGTATATCTTTTTTGCAAGTTTGGTGTAATGAACGAGCTGGTCCTGATGGCGGGGACGGTGGAAATGGTGGACACGTTATTTTCCAATCAACTACAGATGTGCGAAATTTTAATCATATACTTAGTACTTTGCGTGGAGTATCAGGAGAAAATGGAAGTAGCGAAAACTGTCATGGCAAGAATGCTCAGCATACTATTGTAAAAGTACCAATTGGAACCGTGGTGCGAAATAAATTGGGTTGTGTGGTGGGGGATTTAAGTGAAGTAAATTTAATGTTTGTTGCAGCGCGTGGAGGCGTGGGTGGAAAAGGAAATCGGTTCTTTGCGACCGCAGTCCAAAAATCACCGAAGATTTGCGAGTATGGACCACAAGGTGAAGAAGCAACATACATTTTGGAGTTGCGAACTATGGCGGATGTTGGGTTTATTGGGCATCCAAATGCTGGTAAAAGTTCTTTGCTAAATGCAATTACCCGAGCGAAGCCCAAGGTTGCACCCTACCCTTTCACGACTCTGCGACCATACGTTGGAATGGTGCAGTATGAGGACTTCACTCAATTGACAGTGGCTGATTTGCCTGGATTAATACCCGGCTCGCATCTTAATAGAGGACTTGGTATACAATTCCTTAAACATGCAGAGCGTTGTAAGGTTTTACTTATTGTTCTAGATGCTAGTTTGGAAGAATCCCATCTTCATTATGAACAATTATTGCATGAATTAAGACAATTTAGCCCTACTTTGGCAGAGCGACCTAAAATAGTGGTTGCAAATAAGATGGATTTACCAGAAGCCAAGGAGAACTATTTAGATTTACAAAAAAAACTTGCTATGAAACTGATTCCAATCAGTGCGAAAACAGGCGAAAATCTCTGCCAGTTATTATCTATTATTCGCGAGTATTATGAACGACATAAGCCAAATAAATTACGAAATGATTTGTAACTCTTTTGGTTTATATTTATTTCTATTAACTAAAATTTAAATTTCGATTTAGTTCCAAGAATACATACAAAGATTTTTATTTTTATAAACGATTTTATAGATCCTCTTCAGCAGTTGGCAGCCAAAAAGCCATATTAGTACAAGCCGATGCAAGCATCATGTATTTGGGGTTGAATTGTACGCACTGCACGGGCCCTGGGTGATCCCCATTTAAAACACATACTTTACAACCAGTATCGGCATTCCATATGTGTACTCGGCCGTCTGTACTTCCCGAAAATATAAATTGTGAATCTGGGCTGAAACTTGCTTCTATGGGAATACCTTTGTTGTTCGGATAACCAGTAAATGTTTGTAAAGGAGTACCATGAAACGCATCTACTAAACGTATAATAGACCCGTTTGTACTAATAAGAATTATTTTGCCATCCCTTGAAAACTTCAAACCAGTCCAATCACATTCTTTTTCTTGATATAGTTTGAAAGTGACAAAAGGACCTTTATCAAATGATCGCAAATCATACAATTTAATGCTCTCAGAGTTAACGCCAGCTGCAAATATTAATCCTTCCGGGTCGTATGCAGCAACAGGGCGTCCAGGTAAATTCATTAGGCCTTGGCAATTGGGTGAGCGCAGATCCCATAGTCGCAAAGTCTTATCCAAAGAACCAGATAGAAAAGTGTCCTCAACCGGCGAAATACACAGCGAAATTACTTTTTTAGTATGGCCAGGAAAGTAGCGTAAATATTTATTATCATGGAGACTTAAGTATCGTATGGTGTCATCTACTTTAGTTGAACTGTGAATTGCTGTATTGTTGGCGTGGGTGAATCGTATTAAGTCAACGCCATATTTCTTTGAGTTAACAGTTCGAGACTGGGTTCCTTTTTCACAATCGTAAATAACAATTTGGTCATCCTCGCTGCATGAAATCAAATGTTCACCATTGGGAGAGAAATCGATCGCGTTGATTTTGTCAGTATTTTCACGGAATACCTTTGCAACTTTAAAACTTTTTACAACAGAATCGACAAGTTTCATCTTCATTTTGGCTTTGTATTTTATTACACTCGCTCGATGTAAACAAGCCACAAAGGAAATAAATAAAAGTGATGTGCTGAATTGCCGGTACCCAATACTCGGTAACCAGTACCACAGAAAGATTTCGGTACCCAATACTTCCTTTTCGGTACCCAATTCCGATTATATACACACAACCAGTGTGACCGTTTTGATCCAAGTGGATCAAAATAATACATTTTTCCTTTTTCAATTTTGATACTTTTCCAAATACAAATGAAAAAAATCTGTAAATGTTTATGCATTACAAAACATGTCGTGCACCTGTGGCAACGTACATCCAAAATTTCATTGTCGTTCTCTGAACGAACCTTTCATGTATTAGTTGCGTTCCCTAAAGGCCGGTCCACATAGAACTTTCGCGTTGGCTTTGGCGTTGGCGTTGGTTTGACAGAACGCACATTAAAAGTATGCTTGCTACAATGAACGCTTGGCAGCGAATTCTTGGGCCACTAAATTAACATATTAACGACAGATAAATTAATATTTCATATCAATGATTGCATTAAAAATGATATTTCTTGCCAGCACTTCATTAAAAAGGATAAAAATTTCACATATTTTTTTTATTTGCAACAGCTGACGAGCGACGCACGCGAAAAGTTAAGAGTTGGCCATCTTTTTGCTTTGTGCTGGCGTGAGCGTTGTCGAATTTTGGCTATGTGGACGGCTGCATTTGAATTCATGTATTCATAGTCAGCTGTAGAAGCGACGCCAACGCCAACGCAACGCCAAAGTTCTATGTGGACGGGCCTTAACTCGCAAGAAGTTGCAATAATTTACAGGAATTTACCAGAAAGCGTTCCCGTACTCGGTTCTCTGGCTTCTTTTCCCTTTCGACAGTTTTACAGGCTTTAACCCTGAAAATTTGGGGAACGCAACTATTGTGATTCATGGTCCATGTCGAAAAACGTCAAAATGTGAACAAACGAACAGTGTCATAGCGCTGGATTTTTTTATTTTCGCTATGTTCAATAACAGAAACTAGGGCTTGGTACTCGGTAAGTCCCTGTTTCCACAGGAAAACACCAATGTCATGATAACCATGTCACAAAATATATTTCCAATGGATACCGCCTTATTGCTTGACTTCTATTGCAGGCAATTTGATAGTTTGACAGCCATATTTTCACTTGATAGAAAGCGTGCTGGTGGTTATATCGATGAAATATTAGAAGAAAAATATTAGAAGAAAAAGTCAAAATACACACTGAGCAGCTCCAGTCTCTCTTCGGGAGTCTCTCTTCAAAAATATCTGAGTTGGAAGAGAAGCTTGTCAGGCGTTTGGATGCGGAAGTAGCGACTTTGACAGCAAGAGCGGTTGAATCTTCTGAGCATATGGCCATTTACTAGGCGCCCAAATAGTACGATTTCGTACAAAAATTAAAGCATTTTTCACAACTCTGATATGTATATTACTGGTAGTTTTTCAATTTATCACATTGTATTTACATTTGGGGTGTTCACAGTTCGTTCCAAATTATGTCTGAAAATGTAGACGTCTACATTTTGAGACATCTTTAGCATCAAACTGTGAGCACCCCTTTCTAGCAGTCGTCGCAAAATCGTCTCAAAACTTTGCTGGTGTTGCCAGACATTTC